CAAGACATAGAAGCGGTTCTTGGACCTTCAATTTTCGCTATCCGTCGCTGGAGAAAAGAATGGACGGAACTTTCCATATCCGCTGCCGCCAATCGTTACGCGTGGAGAGGTACCGACTGTGACATCATCGAGGCCGGCTAGATCAGGCATGATCACAGCCGTATTAGGTAAAAGTACGTTTATTTGAAGGTGACATTCCGCATTCCCAGTGCTACGCAGTCACTTGTAACAAGTAAAGACTGGGAACGGATGACTCGAAAGAAACGTAGGCACACTTGTTCAGTGAATTCGACCCTTTGTTTCTACGTCCACTAATGAACTCAGAGTGTTGAAGCGTCAGGCCAGTATGCGTAAGTCCTAGTAAGCTGACCTTCTTCTTGTTCTCGCCTTGGCGCCCAGAGAAATTCAGTAATTCGCGGGGGCACTAATGCATGGAACGCTAATGAGACCTACAGTAATTTTCATCTTATTACACCTTCAACATACACAAAACTGTGCAACTCACTAGAATTTCTAATCCATTAATCGAAGGTCCTAACGCGTAATAGTTGCTTTTTGAGTATTTGCTATCTTCTAAGCATCTGGCGATATACTCTTGTTTGAGTTTGAAAACTCGAATGAATAATCATTGGGTCCGCTGTCAGTCCAATCTCAAACTGGAACCTTCAACTGTATTCGCCAATGCTCTCAGTTCGATTGAAATACTCGCCTGTATGGTAACCTCGTTTGCCGAGACAACTTTGTTAAAAAAAACTCTTCTGAATAAAACAACCTGAAATATATGTAGGTTAACCTTAAAAATCCGGTGCTCGGAATCCTGCCCGTAATTCCTCAGTTTCCGAGTAAATTAAGGCTTTAGACTCTCAAATTGTCATTCCTAACAGAAGCAACCAAATTCTCCTCATATCGATTGAGCGCTATAAATCAATTTATGTCTCGATTACGTAACTTTGATGTAAAAACGTGGAATGAAATGCATCTGGAAACAAAATACAAATATACTAAACCTCCAACATTTACCCTATACTCCGAGCTCACCTTTTCACGCCTGGATGTATTAGAGGATAGAGTTTCTTTCCGGCCCTTGTACTTCCAATTCCTTTTGGTTTATGTTGAGTACCAGCACAGTATTTCTCTCACATTGGAAATAGTAAGTCAAAACTGACGAAGTTTATGAAACAGATTCACACTGACGATCTCCTCCCTATCCCATACATCACCAACGTTATCAAGCCAACCTCGGCTGTTAATTCGGTTTGACAAATTGATTGGCCTGACACAAAGTTGCGTCCATCGTATTCCACCGACGGACTTGAAGCTCACATAATTAAAAGGTGCCATAAAAACCACACTGAGACGGTTCCATTGATGTCCAACCAGACATTTAAAGGACACCGAGCTGTCCTGTCCACTGGCAGCAATAATCATAAGTGTGGCCTGAAGGAGTTAGGCTTGGCAAACCTAACACGAGAGAGTGTACTATTGAAGTGAGTCAAGTTAATGGGGAAAACCCATGCCTCTGCGATCTTCGGGCCCGCTTCCGCAGGGGAAGGAGAAGAAGTGATACGTCAGGTGGAATTAATAGTATATTCTATACAGAGGTGTTGGAGAATAGGTAGGAGGAAGTTAACTGTCGGACGAGTGCATGACCCCTCGCGAGAAGTCCGGTTTCCGGAGTGGCTGTGTGGTGACTCACTCCACAGGCGAGCATGTCCATACGGTCGCCGCCGGTAACGC